CCCCACTCCCAAACCTTGAACTGGAATCAGGAAAGACAGAGGAAACAACCAAAATCATGGTTCTATTGCTTTGATACCTTTACTAGGTGAATTGATGGCATTCACTAAGCTAATAGAGACGTTTATATCAAGAAACATTTCTGTATATATTGTTGAATTTTAGTTGTACATATACTTTGTATGTTTTTGTCTTCTTTCATATATGGAGTAAAAGCCACAAAACGCTAGGAGTGTCCTGTATATTTCTCTCTATGTGTCTCTATCTCATCACCCCTCTCTCCCTCCCTCCCTCCCAGTATATTTTCTATCATTCTTAAAAGAATTCCCATTTCCTAATATGGGAAGCCCTATATATAAACATCAAGTGCCTGCAGAGATGTCAGTTTGCAGCACCAGCCTTTGTCTTAAGTACTTTAACATTAACCATGGATGTTTTCTCAACTTCCTTTATATATTATATTTTATTGTAATTTCTACACATTTTATCTATTTTGTTTTTAAAAAATTAGATTGATCTATCCCCTGATAACCTCTAGACATCCAGTAGTTTCCAATGCTGAAATTGAGTGTTCTCCTTTCCCTTTCCTCAGCCCAAGCAATACAGCTGTATTTGATATCTTTGTTTAGAAGCAGTTTTTAACAAAAAAAAAAAAAAGAGGAAAGTAAGAAAAAAAAAACAAAGTAAATGCACAATTATGATTATTTAATGTTTACAACCCTTTGCAAGCTAGGTAGGTAGGAAAATGCATGCTCCTAGATGAAATACATCCTCCGATCTTGTGGAAAGCATAGAAATAATGGAAATGAAAAGTCCTTTCGTCATACAAGCAGGAAGCCCCATACTGCGAGAATTAATGGCTACAGACCTGGGCATCCTTCAAATTATGAACCTTGAAACCACTGAGCCATTTATCAGAAGTCAATAGAGATACTCAGAGTGCTCCATATAATGACAGCGACATACAGTCGTGCAAAAGGACAGTCACTATAATTAGACACAAAGCAAAGACTACTTACCAATATACCCGTTCCTTTTTTTGTTGAGCAACTTCCACGCTCAGTCAGTCTTCAGAATGGTTTAAAACCGATCAGTCTTGTCATTTTCTAGCATTCGCATTGTTACATTAGGAAAAATGTTTTCTTTTCTTTTTTCCCCCTTCCTACTGTGAAACTTTGGGTTCGGAGCTCCCCAGGATCAATTCTGAACAAAGCCTCCAGCTGCAGTGCCATCCAATTTGAAGCAGACATTGGGGACAATTTAAGGTTTTTATCCACAAGAAGGTTTTTTTCCATTCTCTTAAATGCAGCCATAATTAGAGTAATTTTTCATGTAGCCCGCTGATTACAGCGTTTTTACCGTCAAAGATAATTACCTGTAATTTTCTTCCACTTTTAATACTAAAAAGCCATCTTTATTTAGATTCAGGAACAGGAAAGGCGAAACAAAAGAGGGAAATTATTCTGTTATTCATACACAAATTGCAGAGACGTAGGACCTAAAATTGAAAATTAACCAAAATTATAATGCTGAAAAGAATGGAAGAGGCTGCAGAAGTACAGCTGGTAGTGGGGCTTTGCTGAATTATTCAAATTACGTTGGAGAAATAGCTACCCTATATCGAAACCAACACTAATTTTTCTTAAAAAAAAAAAAAAAATTCACCAGACACATGCCAAACCACTGTGAGTGCATGGAATTCTGAAACCCAGCAAATGCATTTTAACACATTGATGTTGTGAGGATGCGCCTGTATAAGTCTCTCTAACTCTTAATATGAGTTTAATTAAACAAGAAATTCTGACACGGGGTCCTCCCCAGAACTCTCTTTGGAACTGGGCTACCTCTGGGTTCTCTGAACTTCAAGGGTTAATATTTTCGCTCTTTTGAATGTATTGACCCCATAGTAAACTGATTCCCGAGAGAGGGATTGGTAGGAGGGGCGTGGGCGAAAGGCCTCGCCCAGTTGCGGTGCCTACTACGCCTCCTCAAGTTCGCACTTCTCTAGAGTCCGAGTTCTAGAGCCTGGTCCTGAGCATATTTCCCATGTAAAAAGAGAAAAAAGAATATAGCTGCGGGTGGTGAGTGTGAAGGAGAAAATTTCTCCTCGTCGCCAACAAGCATCTCATTATCTTTTGACACAATTCAGTCCTAAGGTCCCTGCTGCCGGAGAAGGCCTTTCTGCCCTAGGGTGAGGGAGCCAAAGATTTCTCAGGCTCCTGCACTTAACATCTCAAGCTGTTTCCAGCGTCTACAGGGTCAGGAAACAGCGTCATCTATAGATAGAATAGCACCGCTTCCTACAGGAGTCTTCCTCGATGCTAAGCATTATCTTTTGACACAATTCAGTCCTAAGGTCCCTGCTGCCGGAGAAGGCCTTTCTGCCCTAGGGTGAGGGAGCCAAAGATTTCTCAGGCTCCTGCACTTAACATCTCAAGCTGTTTCCAGCGTCTACAGGGTCAGGAAACAGCGTCATCTATAGATAGAATAGCACCGCTTCCTACAGGAGTCTTCCTCGATGCGTTCCTATATCAGACTGGTTCCTGGACTCGGTAGTTCGGTTCTGCCTCTCAGCCAATCATGCCCCTCCAACCCCGAGGTCGCAGCATTTGGGCCCCGCCGGCAGTAGCTCTACCAGAAGCATCCCGCCCCTCCCCCCACCCCGGCTTGAGGCAAAGGCCCTGAAAAGCAGCCCCGAAGGGTCTCAGAGGCTAGTTATTCCTGAAACTTTCTCCCAAGTGGAGAAAGATGTTGAAAGGGCTGTACAGTCCAGAGATTCAGACTACACCTGCCGTTGCAAATGTCCGCATACTTGTGATAATAAAGGAGCACTATCTCGAGCTCCGTTTGCTCTCTCGACGCCCCTAAATTTAAAATCATCGCCGTATGTAAAGATCCCAATGAATTGGCTTAGGACTAGCGCTGAATAACACTTTTCAAAACGATTTTAGCTTGAAATCTCCAACTATCTCCCTCCAAATCTTACGGAAACCTGGTCCTTTTCGCAGTCTCAAGTCACAAGCTGCACCAGATGTACCAACAGCACAGAAAGCAAAAGAGACAAACCGAGTTTTCAAGGATCCCCGTTCTCACCCGAATCCTTTTACTCACCAGAACGACAACGCTTTTACTGTTAAAGGGGGATAAAAGGTCAGAATTGAAAAATCTATAAAGCAAAGTTGCAGTCCATAATGAATTAGAACAACAATACATATAGCTTGGAAAGTGGGAGAAGAGAAATATGAACTGTGCCTTGAAGTATGCAAGAAATAAAAACTTACCCCCAGTGAATATCTCTTAAGCAATGATCAGGGTCTAGAAATCTATACTGAACAGAAGCAGAGGAGAATATTTTTCTGAGTCTCAGGGCAGAAGCTCTTTCTCTATATTCTTGGTTGAGTGAGCACATCCAGGTGTGAAATTGTTTGCACACCCCAGCACCTCTTATATTGCCAGCAAAATTAGCTGTTATTACTGTCACTGTTTAGTGATGGTTAGCGTGATACAAAAAAAAAAAAAAAACTGCTGTAATCAAGACCTGGCGCATCTTTGCAAATTACAGATAATTGTAAACGTCCAGATTATGATAATAGCATCCTAATCCAGCCTGCAATATAATTATTACAGTGTTACATCTGAAACTGTCCAGTAGGGCTAATTCAGCCATTATTTAGACCCTATTTTTGCACTGCAAATGGGTTGCTGAGTTGAAAATGTACAATTGTAATTTCACAGGGCACTCAATGAGTAATGGTATAGGAAGAGGAAAATACAAAAGTGAAATGTGAACAGTAGCGATCAAATCAAACCCTGAAGGACAAAAGACTGTTTGATTCATATGGAAAAAGAAGAGCGCGGGAATTAGGAAAATAGCAAATCAGTGGTCTGAAGCATTACGTGTCCAAATCTTCAGTATGTATAGGGCTGATATGTTTGCAAGGGCTGCTGCATCTGCTGTTGCCTGGAGTCTGAAATAATGTTTTTCTTCTTTTTTTTTTTTTAACCCGTCTTTTCTCTCTCTCTCCCCTAAAGCATTTTCTTGCTTAAAAAAAAAAAAATGCCTCCCCCCAAGCCAAGAACACTTGTCAGTTGCACCATTGTTTCCACCAAGGCTGCCTCAGACTGTGCCAGTCACTTGTTTATGAACATTTTCTTAAATGAATTTGCAATCTCTCTTGTCATTAGCGCAAAATGCCCTGGGTACATGTAAGTGTTCCTGAGCTCCATCTCCATTCTCTTTCACAGGGAACAAGTCATTGAGAGTCCTAAAGGATATTAGCAGAAAATATATTAATTACTGCTAATTAAATAAAATGGCTGAGAAGCTGTCTCCTCCACTCCGCTTGGCTGGCTATTGGCTTTAATCCTGTCATTAACTTTTATTAATTAATGGCTCCATATAAACCAGTCCAGCTGCTTCTTTTGCTACAAGTCACTGATGTGCTGCTTTCTGAATTCTACAAAGTTCAGTATTTTTGATAAAGGACTGTCTCTATCCCCAGAAATGGCTGTGAAAGACCAAGGTCAGTCTCCTTGCAATATGAAAGGACCAAAGAGAGAGGGAGTTGGAGAGTTAGAGGAAGACAGTCTGGAGAGAGGCTGGAGCACTGTGTGGGTCCCAGAGTGAAAGTGAACCCCAGGCTTTTGCACCAGGAGGATGAACCCTGCCCTGGCTGAGACTATGAGGTCTAGTTCTGGTTCCTAAGGGAGGGGGGATGTCCTGGTCAGGGATACCCAAACTCCTGCTCTCCCCATCATGAGCACAGAGAATTTCCTGAGCATCTTTTCCGGCCTCTAAGACAGTCTGTGATGATTCTTCCTCTT